TGGATACATTCACCATATTGAGAAATGAGAAAGATCAGGCCAAAATAGAAAGAACACCAGGCAGGAGTATATAAAATCTGTTAAAAGATAAAAGATTCGATAGGGACCCCGTATATGTTGGATCTACAAAAAGATCGCTTAAACAATGCCTCTGTGAGCATAAAACAGAGATAGAAAAAAAAAAAGCAATACCACCTTAGAGATATATGCCAACGAAAATAACATTATACCTAATCTACAACAAGCGATAATAATTTGACAAACCTGACATATAAACCAACTATGAAATCAGAAGTTAGAAATTTTTAAAGCGGACTGCAAAGGCCTGTCAATCAAGTTTAAAGAAGAAAAACAACTATCAAGAGCATGGCAGGCTATTTATGATACAACACTATAACAACTGGCGCTGGTGGGGATTCGAATTTTGAAATTTTAAAAAATAAATTTTGAAGATGGAAGCATTGGAGACCTGAACGGTTAAAAATCTGAATTGCACCAGAAAAACTTATAAAATACCTGAGGAAGACCCTAGAAGTGAGTTGAAAACATTTGTGTTATGTTTTTAAGTAGTAACTGCAAAGTTATACAAGGTTAGTACGACATATCTGTAATTATCACTTTCTTTGTTAAATGGATTTGTCACCTTTTTGGCACTTGTGTTGTTTAGTGGGTATGGCTATTTGAGAGGTTTCCTTCCATAAAATTAATCAAATCTAGACTAATTTCACTCGAATATTTCCAAAACATGTATAATTTGTTGGAAATGATCGATATAAAATATGCTATGAATAAAATATTGTCAGAATACTGATCGGGTGTACCCCATTCGAAGACGCCATTGCTTAAGCTTGTTTTTGTCGCGGAGCATCACATCAGACAGCGGACGCATACAAAGCGTGTCACACAACATTTGTCGGTGCTATTCAGTCACGTGACTACTCATCTCTGACGTGTTTTCTGATAATTTATTCTTTTTGCAAAGAATTCGCTGAAATTTAGAGACATCATTAATAGAAATATTAAAACTTCATTCCATTCTAAATATGGATTAAAATCAACATATAATAATGTATGATAATGCAATAAATAACTAATAATTCTGTTCTACTTTTAAATGGCCTAATCTCTCGTGTCGTAAACAAAATTGAATAATATTTATTTACATCAAGACATTAGACATCTTATGTTGCATCTGATTAATATTTATCATCATAATACATATCATGCTAGAATTATTGTCATTAGCAAGCGGTTTTTCCTTTGTTGCTTCATATAGTCAATAATAATAATAAGTCGTTTCTAATTACAATAAAAATCCTATAGTATATTATGATCTATCATGTGATGTCTAAAGTTCAGCAAATTCTTTGCAAAAAGAATAAATTACAGTAGACCCCCTATAAAACGGGTTCATATAGTTTGGATTCCTATATGACGGCAAAAAATTGTGACAGTATTCATACAAACACGCTAAAAAAACTCCTATAATTCGGTAAAACGTCATCGCCGACTCATGTCACAACAGGATTGATAGAATCTAGACCAATGGCAGATATTGCACAAACCATTGAGTTTAAACGAGCAGCGGACCTACAAAAAAACCAATTATTATTTAATGTCCATAAAAATTATATTTATATTAATGATGTCTCCAAAGTTCAGCGAATTTTTCGCAAAAAAAAAAAATAATTTATCAGGAAGCACGCGAGCGCCATTCAATGACAAGCTCCACGATGAAAACAAGCTTAAGCAATGGCGTCGTCGAACAGTGCACACTCAGTAAATAATCCTACAATTTTTTGTTTATAGTATAGTTTAAATGGATTATTCCCAAAAAATTATATGTATTTTGGAAATGTTAAGTCGAATTAGTCTAAAATCAATTAATTTTATGGAAGAAAACCTTTCAAACAGCCGCAGTCCGTAAACTGCATACGTGCCTGGCAGTGATTGGCTCATGTACAGTAATACCTCGACTTATGCGATTTTCAAATCGATTCCTCTTTTGTTTGAGCACCACGCAACTCTCAATTACTCACTCCCCTCACACTATTGTTCGGCTTACATGTTCGGACTTGTCGCGCGGAATCGACACATAGCTACAATTTATTTTGTGTTATTTATTTCTGTGTTTGTTATATCTACAGAGACTCAACAGATTATGTGGTGATTTCTTGTAACTGTGAACGAATCAAATGANAGACATGTTCTGTTTACCTTCACATTTATATTATTATTTTTAATTAATAAAAATAGCATTCTATGTACATATCCATATTCCTTTTGCTTAATAAATTATATCATTTACATGGCATTTGGCATATTGTATAGATTTATGTAAATCTTGGATAATTCAAAGTCGTGATTATTTTCATCCCTTGAATTTAATTTCGAACTAATGAGGATTTCTTGTATATATATGTTTGTAATTACTAATATTAAACGTGAAATAAATAAATATATACACACACACTTATTTGAGTTTTAATGTTAGTCATTTTAATTTATATGTTAAAAATGAATAAAATTAAATGTAACTTAACTTTATCAAGATAAAAATGACTAATTTCATGTTCCAATAAGTTCTATAAAGTCTTAAACTGCAATGTGTTTCCCAGTTACAAATACTTTTATAAAATAATCAACCATAGCACATAGCCAACAAAGATAAAGTTTAAGATAAAATAAATATGGAAGATTGAATTGATTTTAAAAGAAAAATCATCATTGAAGTTCTTTAGTAAAATGATGTTAGTTATATGCAATAATCAAAATAATTATGCAAGGAAACTTGATAGCATTTACAAGACCTAATTTTATAACATTAACCTCCTCTTCCCTGGACATGTGACCATGCAGTTGGACATGGAGACTCAAGCACTATATATTATTCTACCACAGATGATGTAATGCCACTTCAAATCCTTCATACACTTATAGATGGTTGAAGCTGGGGTGCTATCTGGCTCCATAAATGCTTCATAATAAGTAATAATCTCTGGTAATAAATAATAAATCTGGAGACTGGGCAGCCTAAAACTTGTGGAAAGAAAGTCAAACATTCCTGGGAAGCCCTAGCTTTATATAGCCAAGTATTATCTTACTGGAAAATGGTTGTAATCCTACCATGAAAGACAACACACAAGGATGAAGGATTTCCTGAATATACACTGCCATGCTGTTAATGTCCAGACCAGCATGCTAACAGTGGGATAGTGTGTGTTGTTCAGCAGTAGAGGCAGGATTGATCCAGTGATTCTCCACATACTAATATGCTGATTGCCTGTTTCCAGACAGAACTGAAATTCATCACTAAAGACAATATAAGAAAATGAGTTTGACAGTATTAGTGTTAATGACAGGATGCACAGCAGTTGCTCTGCATAAAAATTTGTCTCTGCTAGTTGATTTCCAATGATATCAATAGAGTTCTGTAGTGATGCCTGGCATTTGAAGGCCTCCATACAAAAGGTATACTGAAAATTCTGAACACTGAGCTTCTGCAAGCCTTTTTTATAGGATACATTGCATGCTATAATCATTTAATTACCTGTCTAAGACATAGATATATGTGAAGTTTTGCAGTAATCAGATAATACTATCTGGGTGCATAAATATATTTATTGACAAAAAAGTTCACTAAAAACTGAATTTTCAAGCTAAAATTAAATTTAAAATTATACAGTTACAGTTAGTTTTAAAATTAACTAATTTATTTAATTTTGAAATGTTTATAATTAAATATGCAATTTTAATTATCAGGCCATTCCATAAGTAATGTTGTTTTTTTATCCCTATGAAAGAAAAAATGCAAATACACTTGGAACACAATCCTCAGTCGTTATTATAATTACCATCTGATACCACAGCCTCTGCCATCTATTAACCAGTTTTTGAATCCTTCTCTGGATTTTGGTGTAAAAAACTCAGATAATGTTCACTGCACTGCACATCCTCCACATTTTGCAGTGTTTTCCCATCGAGATGATTTTGGAGATTGAAAAACAGATAGAAATCTGTTGGTGCAAGGTCTGGCATATAAGGAGGATGGAGTATTTTCTCCCATTGAAATTCCTGTAATTTCATGCAGGTCCTATTTGCTGTGTGTGGGGGTGGACATTATCTGTGTATCAGCACCAGTGCAAAGCATTTCTCCAGCAATGCAGCCCATAGCTGTTTCAACTGCTGACAGTAAATATCCGCTGTAATTATCTGGTTTGATGACAATTCAAAATGAATGATACTATGCATGTCCCACCAAACACACATCACTTTCTGTGGTTGGAGTTATTGTTTTGTCATTGTGCCCACCACATCATCTTTAGATACCCACTGGAATTTGCATTTAACATTGTGGTATAAGATCCATTTTTTGTCTCCTGTCACTATTCTATCCAAAAATGGCTCTCTTCTGTGATGGGTCAATAGAGAACTGCAAACATTCACATGCTGCTGCTTCAACCTTTCACTGGCATTTGCAGAACAAGGTGCTGCAAATGCCAGTGAAAGGTTAAAGAGGTCGAATGGAATGCTACGGATAATTCTTCAACTGCTTAAAGTGAATTCTCCTCAACAGCTGCTCGCAGAAGAGCATTGTCCAGTCCAATGGGTCTTCTGTCTTGTGGCATATCATTATGGCTGATGTTCTCCATTGTTTTGAACTACCTTTGACATTTGCAAACATCAAAGGTTCCATGCCCATATATGAAATTAATGTTTCGTGCGGTAAAAGTTGCTGAATGTCCCTGATGGAACTCAAAGCATAAAATGCTGCATGTGTTCTTCAGACATTGACATGTTTAAACACATTTCACTGATACACAAACTGCTGTGGACTGATCATGTTCTGTGCATGTATATGCAATGAACTGTCCTATCAAGCATTAATATCATAATCTTGGTGTAGTTCATAATTCGCCCATCATATGGCATTGATTACATGGACATTCAAAAACTGAATTATTTATGGGATGACCTGATAAAAATACAAATTAACTAACCTTCCCAAATCACAAGAAACAATTGGTGGACGAAGCTTCTCTTGACTGATAGCACAATGTTGCCATTTGGCCACAGTTTCTGCATCTTTATCAATCTATAAAATACAAAATTAAAAGATTAGTAGTTTAAAAAAATATTAAAAGTCTTAACTAGTGTTTTAACGTTGCTTTTACAAGAAAAATATAGAATTAAAAATACTCTTACACAAACTGCAATTGTACAAATACCAACTCTAAAAACCATTTGATGCAGTAATATTTCTTTATTCTAACATTTTCAATCATCTTAAATGATCATCTTTAGGAAAAAATAATATTCTAAAGGAACAAATGCCTAACAGTTTATATAGAATGTATTTGATTTTGAAAGCTCATATCATTAATGACTAACTAAATAAATAAATAACTAAAATAAAATCTAATCAAATACGTTCTAGAAAAACTGTTAGGTGTTTGTTCTTTTAGAATGTTATTTTTTTCTGAAGAAGATCATTTAAGACAGTGTTTCTCAATGGGGGCGATATCGCCCCCATGTGGGCATTTTTCCATGTTGAGAGGGTGATTAGTAACAATTTATATTTTGGGGGGCAAAAAACAGTTTTCTGGGAATATAGTAAAACATTATATTAAGAATAATTAGATATTTTATTTGTTATATCATACAATAATTAAACAAATAACATTATACTAGTCACTAGTCTAGCAGTACGAATTTGGCGTTAGCCTTGGCCCTGGACATCAGAATTTTGAAGTAAAAAGAGCGATACTACGTAATGGTTTTATTGAAGGGGGCGACGATTCGTTAGAGGATGAGAAACAATGATTTAAGACGATAAAAAATGCTAGAATAAAGAAATATTAGTGCATTAAATGGTTTTTAGAGTGGATATTGTCAGATTTATTTTGCAAGTTTTTACACAATAAAATAGTTTAAATAGAGTATCCTTAAGAGTTTCATAAAAGCATGTAAATCCAGAAAACTAAATAAAAATTCAGTGTGTTGCTTAATATTCCCAGCAACATTGTTGGTGTCATCTTAAGATATTTCATTAAAAATGTTTTTAATTTTTAACTGTTATAAAATGGCAAAAAGCTTAATTTTGAAGGTAGGGATGAATTTTACATACGACCCTCTTTATCTCCCCATCCCTCAACCTTTAATCACCAAAACTTAACAGTATCAATCCCATGAATAAACAAACCTACCTCCAAAATTTCAGAAATATTTGATAAAAAGCACAGGAGTTGTTAAGCTTCAAAAAGGGTGAACAAAATCATGCCCCCACACAAACATTCATACCTGTAGAAAAAAAAACCCAAATTTCTCAAGGTCCAGAGTCAAAAATTAAAAATCTGGGGAATCATTTATTGACTGATTGCCATACTTTCCCTCTATTATATATAACAAGAGTCAGGAAAGTAAAAATGTAAAAGAAGCTAAGTATATCTGATACTGAAAATGATGCTAAATAATTAAAAAAAACATCAGCTGAAAAAATTTTTTTAGAAATAAATAACTATTAGCTTTCATATATTTTGCATAACATACTAAGCTAAATACTTTTCAATAATCAATGTAATACAAGCTTTACCTTCATCATGGCAATTTTTTTGCAGTTAAACAAAGTGTTATTCTCAAATAAAATTTACCAAAGGAAAAATACACCTTAAATTAAATATTTTTGATAAATATATAATAAAATTAAATTTAGCATAATAAAATGTTTATACAGTATGTTTAATTTTATCATTACAGTGACATTTAATTTGAAAGATAGAATTGAGTATAAAAAGTTTTACTCTAAGGATGCATTCTTTGAACCTGTAGGCAAACAGAATACAGTGTGGATATCACTATCTCCCAGTTCAAAGAAGACAAGATAATCCTTGTGTTGTAAACTGATGGAGCATTTTCATCAACTGCCAAGGAATAGTGTGCCAACATGTGTCACTGCATGCAACAGTCACTAGACAGCACTAAGTGTCAGTTCCACATACTTACTTAGATTAGACTATATCTGCAAGAAACATTCCATCTCCATGTCAGTGATTAGTGGCTGCACCATGATGCACTCACATGCTGACATTGTTTTTGACTGCAAAAAAATTTCAATGATGAAGGTAAAGCTTGTATTATTGCCGAACAATGTGATGACACTGTTTTTGACTAAGAAAACATCTTATGCATCTCTTACATCCACCATATGGCCCAGATTTGGCATTCTGCAACTTTTTCTTATGTTCAGCACTCAAAGTTATAGAATACTTATTTTCTGTCAAAGCACTAGAAATTATTTTGAAGAATATCTGAAAGGGTGGGCCACTGCCATTTTATTGTGAATGAATCGGTGAAAATCTCCAATGAAAGTAAGAATAACGATGATGTCATTCTTGTTTAACTTGTTTGACTTTATGAACTTAAACAAGGTCACTAATTCAGATGCCCAGACATCAAAGATTCCTGGCACTCCACTCATTTACCCCTTAAGCCCATAACCCGAGATATCTCGGGCAAGTTACATAACGTTACATAAAATGAGGTCCTTAAGGCCATTTTTGAAATTTTTTTTTTTTTGAATTTTTGGAATGTTTTTTAGGTCCCGAAATTTTTTCAAAATTTTTTTCCCGCGCAAAAAAATTTTATCGCGATTTTAATGAGCCTATGTGAAGGCTCGATTAAGGCTTAATTGTTTTTTAATGGGAGTTTTTTATCAAAATTATTTCATGGTTTTTAAGTTGTAGCGCACGGATTTTCATTCAGTAAAGTTATTTAAAGTTAGTTTCTGATGTCAAAAACGACCTCCGATGGTTTTTTAATTTTTTTAATTAATATATTTTTATAAATATATAATTAATTAATTAGGGGGGGTCGGAAATCGCAATAAAATATTGAATTTNTATTATTGCTGCACAATGTGATGACACTGTTTTTGACTAAGAAAACATCTTATGCATCTCTTACATCCACCATATGGCCCAGATTTGGCATTCTGCAACTTTTTCTTATGTTCAGCACTCAAAGTTATAGAATACTTATTTTCTGTCAAAGCACTAGAAATTATTTTGAAGAATATCTGAAAGGGTGGGCCACTGCCATTTTATTGTGAATGAATCGGTGAAAATCTCCAATGAAAGTAAGAATAACGATGATGTCATTCTCGTTTAACTTGTTTGACTTTATGAACTTAAACAAGGTCACTAATTCAGATGCCCAGACATCAAAGATTCCTGGCACTCCACTCATTAACAGAAATCACTTGTTTTGAAGAGAAGCATTGTCATTTGTGCTCATTTGTTTTGTCATGGCACAAGCAACTTTAATTAATTTCTTCAATGCAAAAACTACAAAGAATTACATAATTTATAGCATCTGCTTCTAATAATTAAATAGGCAGCTCACTATCACCAGTTAATGAATATTACTTGTACTGAAAAAAAATCTGTTAGAGCAAAAGAAAGAGGACAAAAGCACTTTTTTGCTCTACTTTCACTCAAATTCCATTCAATCTACCACTGAACGTGACCAAGCATGTGCATACCAATTCTACCAGCCATGCTGTCTGTCCACACAAGTATGTACTTACCTTTACATTTAAAAATTAATTATTATTATAATTAATATATGAAATTAAAAAAAAACATTAAACATTTAATCTGAAAGGTTAGAATACATGATCTTGTTTAAAATATTAAAACATTTGAAAATGTTTCATTCTTAACCCACCCGACTGTTCACGAAGTACTTGTTATATAGTTTAAGGAAGCTTTAACTGCATGGCTAACGTCAGTACACGGCACATGCCAACACGAGGCAGATTTGGTGCAAGTTCCGTCCTATCTCGTCGCCATGTCCACATCGACCTCGCGTCCTGTGTCTTTGATTCTGTCAGTAAGGATTAAGCGAGATACCAATCTAGGCAAATAATTTTACTTTATTTAAATCAGATATGTGATATTTCACATCATCTTTTCTGAATACCGCTATTTTGAACAAACTCGTACTCACTCGTTTAACCTTTACTTTCCAGTACTGCTTAAACTTCATAAAACAAATGTTTTCGGCCTCACTTGAGGTCTGCTTCAGGTTACAAGAAAAAAACCAGTTTCCAATCTTAGAATGATTCTTGAAGGAACATTGAGTTTTTAAATAAATTCGAACATATGCATACGCCACGTATCGTAGGTGATTACTCGGATGCGATAGCATTAGTTGCAATTGGGATTCATTTGAAATTCATGCGGTTTCTTGGCTAGTTTCTCCAGTTTCCTGTTTCTGGTCATCTCGCCAGAATGACCACCTTCCTCCTTTCACAGCCAGGCTTAGGACTGTCCAAGGCAAAGTACAATTGAATTGGAACAAATAAGCAATAAAGAGGCTCATTTTTTTGACTTTAGTATAACATTCAATGATAGCGGAAATGTCACAAATATATACCGAAAATAAAGTGCCATCCTGATATACATCCCAACTGACTCTAACAACCCATATAACTACAAAATGACAGCTTTTACAGCACTTATCAGAAGAGTCTACAACACTGTAGCAAAGAACAAGACCAATGGAGGGAAATAAGGAAAATAGCAGAAATAGCTGAAAGTCACAGCTACAATAAAGGCTTAATATATAGAATGGCTGATAACCAACAAAATCAGCTCAAAGACCAATTGAATGGGATTCCAGAAGAGGATCCACGACAAGATACATCTCCCTAACAAATAACTATGACATACGAGCACCCTATGCAGTCCCTATATCAGGAAATTGGAGCTTACACTAATGCAAAAATAGCCTACAGACGTAAGCTGGATACATTCACCATATTGAGAAATGAGAAAGATCAGGCCAAAATAGAAAGAACACCAGGCAGGAGTATATAAAAGCTGTTAAAAAAAAAAAATTCGATAGGGGATTGTTGGATATGTTGGATCTACAAAAAGATCGCTTAAACAATGCCTCTGTGAGCATAAAACAGAGATAGAAAAAAAAAAAGCAATACCACCTTAGAGATATATGCCAACGAAAATAACATTATACCTAATCTACAACAAGCGATAATAATTTGACAAACCTGACATATAAACCAACTATGAAATCAGAAGTTAGAAATTTTTAAAGCGGACTGCAAAGGCCTGTCAATCAAGTTTAAAGAAGAAAAACAACTATCAAGAGCATGGCAGGCTATTTATGATACAACACTATAACAACTGGCGCNTCATTTTTTTGACTTTAGTATAACATTCAATGATAGCGGAAATGTCACAAATATATACCGAAAACAAAGTGCCATCCTGATATACATCCCAACTGACTCTAACAACCCATATAACTACAAAATGACAGCTTTTACAGCACTTATCAGAAGAGTCTACAACACTGTAGCAAAGAACAAGACCAATGGAGGGAAATAAGGAAAATAGCAGAAATAGCTGAAAGTCACAGCTACAATAAAGGCTTAATATATAGAATGGCTGATAACCAACAAAATCAGCTCAAAGACCAATTGAATGGGATTCCAGAAGAGGATCCACGACAAGATACATCTCCCTAACAAATAACTATGACATACGAGCACCCTATGCAGTCCCTATATCAGGAAATTGGAGCTTACACTAATGCAAAAATAGCCTACAGACGTAAGCTGGATACATTCACCATATTGAGAAATGAGAAAGATCAGGCCAAAATAGAAAGAACACCAGGCAGGAGTATATAAAATCTGTTAAAAGATAAAAGATTCGATAGGGACCCCGTATATGTTGGATCTACAAAAAGATCGCTTAAACAATGCCTCTGTGAGCATAAAACAGAGATAGAAAAAAAAAAAGCAATACCACCTTAGAGATATATGCCAACGAAAATAACATTATACCTAATCTACAACAAGCGATAATAATTTGACAAACCTGACATATAAACCAACTATGAAATCAGAAGTTAGAAATTTTTAAAGCGGACTGCAAAGGCCTGTCAATCAAGTTTAAAGAAGAAAAACAACTATCAAGAGCATGGCAGGCTATTTATGATACAACACTATAACAACTGGCGCAGGTGCACATCGTTTGGAGATTCGAATTTTGAAATTTTAAAAAATAAATTTTGAAGATGGAAGCATTGGAGACCTGAACGGTTAAAAATCTGAATTGCACCAGAAAAACTTATAAAATACCTGAGGAAGACCCTAGAAGTGAGTTGAAAACATTTGTGTTATGTTTTTAAGTAGTAACTGCAAAGTTATACAAGGTTAGTACGACATATCTGTAATTATCACTTTCTTTGTTAAATGGATTTGTCACCTTTTTGGCACTTGTGTTGTTTAGTGGGTATGGCTATTTGAGAGGTTTTCTTCCATAAAATTAATCAAATCTAGACTAATTTCACTCGAATATTTCCAAAACATGTATAATTTGTTGGAAATGATCGATATAAAATATGCTATGAATAAAATATTGTCAGAATACTGATCGGGTGTACCCCATTCGAAGACGCCATTGCTTAAGCTTGTTTTTGTCGCGGAGCATCACATCAGACAGCGGACGCATACAAAGCGTGTCACACAACATTTGTCGGTGCTATTCAGTCACGTGACTACTCATCTCTGACGTGTTTTCTGATAATTTATTCTTTTTGCAAAGAATTCGCTGAAATTTAGAGACATCATTAATAGAAATATTAAAACTTCATTCCATTCTAAATATGGATTAAAATCAACATATAATAATGTATGATAATGCAATAAATAACTAATAATTCTGTTCTACTTTTAAATGGCCTAATCTCTCGTGTTGTAAACAAAATTGAATAATATTTATTTACATCAAGACATTAGACATCTTATGTTGCATCTGATTAATATTTATCATCATAATACATATCATGCTAGAATTATTGTCATTAGCAAGCGGTTTTTCCTTTGTTGCTTCATATAGTCAATAATAATAATAAGTCGTTTCTAATTACAATAAAAATCCTATAGTATATTATGATCTATCATGTGATGTCTAAAGTTCAGCAAATTCTTCGCAAAAAGAATAAATTACAGTAGACCCCCTATAAAACGGGTTCATATAGTTTGGATTCCTATATGACGGCAAAAAATTGTGACAGTATTCGTACAAACACGCTAAAAAAACTCCTATAATTCGGTAAAACGTCATCGCCGACTCATGTCACAACAGGATTGATAGAATCTAGACCAATGGCAGATATTGCACAAACCATTGAGTTTAAACGAGCAGCGGACCTACAAAAAAACCAATTATTATTTAATGTCCATAAAAATTATATTTATATTAATGATGTCTCCAAAGTTCAGCGAATTTTTCGCAAAAAAAAAAATATATCTTGACAGCCTTAATTATCGTNGACTGTATTAGGAAACACGTCAGAGATGAGTAGTCACGTGACCGAATAGCACCGACAAATGTCACATGACACGCTTCGTACGCGTCCGCCATCCAATGTTACGCTCCGTAAGGAAAACAAGCTTAAGCAATGGCGTCTTCGAACGGAGTACACTCGATCAGTATTTCGACAATATTTTATTCATAGCATATTTTATATCGATCACTTCCAACAAATTATACGTGTTTTGGAAATATTCGAGTGAAATTAGTCTAGATTTGATTAATTTTATGGAAGAAAACCTCTCAAATGCCCGTACCCAAGTGCCACTTTTTCTTGTAGATGAAATGTATTATGGTGAATTAAAGTAACTCGTTTTGTTAATATCGATGAGTGCCTGCGTATTTCTTAATAAAGTTGTTCTTAAACGAAGTAAATAGCCGGAAATAAAAAAATCGTTCGTAACTTTTAAACGGTTGATCGTAAGTAATTTTTTTTAATACCAATCGATTCAGCGTGCCAAATTACATCTAGATATGTCTATGTCTATTCATATTAAGTTTAAGACTTTCTTTTTAGTTGGATACCTTTTGCTTCAATCTCATTTCAATGCTCGTGAAATACTAAGAGTATTTATCTATAAGTAATATGTAATAATACCTGTTCTGGTCTTTTCTTTACTCTTACTAGTTCATCTCTTCTCGGTATTGTTCCCCCATCACAACCCATACTTGAACAGATAGTTTATTAAACTATTTGCTTGAACGATGATCTTACGATACAAGTTAGTCGAATAAAAACAAAACAAAATGGCGACACGCAAAGCATCATGTCAAGAAATTCCATTGGAAACAAATGACCTGCACTCTGGTGTCATTTTATGGCACCACTAACTATAGTACAGTATTATTAATTAAAGGTACCAAATTAAAAGTTTTTACCATTATCTACGTTAATGTTGCTTCGTTTATTTTTCTCGTTACTTTCATACGGATTTTGGAAAAATTCCAAAAAAATAAGCAATCGTTATTACAGTGTACCTCAATTTAAGTAACTTTAGCCAGTGTACCTCAATTTACTTTAGCCAGATAACTTTCGATCTTTCAGAAGCAGAATGACTGGAATTTTGTTTTCGAATCAAGTTGAATTTATTATTTCTCTATTGTTTAAAACTGAAGTGAACGAAAATAAATGTTAATAAATTTAGCTTTAGAGAAATAAGCAGCAACAATTTAGCTAAAAAATTCGTAGTTTTAAAGTTAAAAATTGTAAATTTAGCTTCAAAGTAACAATAAGAAGTCCTTTAAACAAGTGCAGTGGTTATCGTTTACAGCGTTCGTATCGGTTATAAAAAATGTTATTTATGAAAAATTTTACTATTTTTGTTATATAAAACATTACTGAAGAGGAGCTAAAGCCCGAAATGGCGAGAAAAGTCCGGAAACCATTAAGGGTGAGTTTTTAAAACTCTTTCCGCCCTGTGGGCATTAAGAGGGCCTCTTTTAGCAAACCCATTATGAGTTCGGCCAGACCCACAATGGGGTGGCCGGGTGGTGAGAGACGGGACCCGAATATCCGGACGGACCACAATTCCAAAAATTCCTGGGGATTTTTTGACTCTGGGTACCCAGAACGGTAGGCTGCACCTTAACTGCTCGGCCATCCGGCCACATTAATTTTAATCCCTTAACGCCCGCCTGATTTTAATTATGATGTAATTAAGCATAAAAATACATAAAAAATACTTAAAACTGAAAAAAACGAAAGAAATGCGTTAATTTTAAAGAAAAAGCTTCAAATTTTATTTTCCTTTGTCTCGCCTTTCTGTGAAATTTAACACCGATGAGTCATTGCTTACACAGCTGGATGACCTTGAACACAGCTGGAGTCCGATTTCCCGGGACATTCTCATATACGTCTCGGGAGGACAAGGGTTTAAAGTAGGGTGAATATGACCGACACATATATTTTTAAATATTTTTAAAAAATTAAAATTTTAATTGCGATTTCCGACCCCCCCCTAATTAATTAAATTAATATATAAAAAAATCGATTAATTAAAAAAAATTTAAAAACTTTTGGAGGTCGTTTTTGACACCAGAAAGCAACTTTAAATAACTTTATCGAAGTCAAATCCGTGCGCTACAACTTAGGAACCATGAAATAAATTTGATAAAAAACTCCCATTAAAAAACAATTAAGCCTTAATCGAGCCTTATCAAAGGCTCATTAAAATCGCGATAAAAATTTTTCGCACGGGCAAAAATTTTTGTCATAAATGGCATTAAGGACTGC